TTTTTAAAAAAATGAACGTCACGCTGAATTTAAATACAAACAGAGGGATACACATGAGGAAGGGAAAAGTCCTTGGCTCAGAAATCTAGATGCCATGATTACGTTGCTCAGTGTCTTGAAAAGATCGACTCTCGTTGTGAGAATTCTATTGCCTGAAACGGCACCGTGTGCATGTGCCGCTTAGCAGGAGAGGTATCTTCAGGAGATGGCTGTCTTTGTCTCAATTTCACAATTGGCCTGTGTGTCCATCAGTGGGGCAGTCTCTGCAGTCCTTGTCCTTTCTCTGTGGAGACATTCCTGAGAGGGGAAGGGGCTATAGGACCAGCTGAAGGGAACATCGACACAACTAAAAAAATAACAGAACACGTCACAGAAAGTTATCACATTGACTCTTCAATAAAAATAGATGAATGTAATGATACGGTGGGAGCATGCTATTTCTAAGTACAAGTGAAATGCTGCATCACCAGGAAAATGTAGCTCTTTCTCACTGTTCACCTCAAGAATCAGTCAAGCAACAGCTTGCTTAAGCACGTGTGAGCGCTCCACACTAACTGCTCAGGGAAAAAATCACTGTGGATATATAAGTGCTTCGTAATGCAGGAGTGAATGAAGTCACTAGAATAGTTGGGAGTTAATGTCGATTCCTCGTACTGTATTTTTGTACCATTGTATGTCTGTACTGTATCTCTCTGTATTTCTAGGGCTTGGCTCTGAGCAGGACACATGGTGCCCACTGAAAGAAAGAACGAAAGAAAAAACAAAAGGGAGGGAGGGACAGAAGGAGGGAGGAACGCAGGAAAAAGGGCAAGAATAAAGGACGAGGGAGGGAGAGAAAGCAAGAAAGAAATGTCTTAAATGTAGAGTTGGCGGAGGGACAGCGTGCAGAGAGAAAGCAAGGTGCAAACATGTTCAGAGACTTGCAAGCCGGGAAGAGCAGGCTCGCATCATTTAAGAAAAAAATCACAGATTCGACGTGGTTTCAGAAAATGGGGGCGGGGCGATTTTCAGGAGGTTCTGTACATGTTAAGATTGAATTTAGGAAGTGTGGTGTGTTCATCTAACTATTGTGGGCTTTTGAAGGGACTACGATTCAAATGAATCAATGGAAAGGGAAACCTGAAACTCAAAGGTGTCAATTGAATGGAAAAAAAAAACAAACAATAATGCAAGAAATCAAATGAAGGCAGAAGGACCAAAGAATATGGTCTTAAAATAGAAAAGCAGGTGCTTGTCTGGGTTTCTTCTATGTTAATGTTGAAGGAAATGAGCTTAGAACTCAGATCAAGAATTTCCTTCTCCCACTGGGTATCTTTTTTCATTCTTCAGCTGTTC